ATCAAGTTTGAAATTTTAGTATCACAACAACACTACATATTTTATATGTGGAGCAATCATCAATTTCCTGATATAACCTGCCTGTAAACCTGAGTCTCATCATCTCATCTGTTCAAATGAGGACGAGTTGCGCCCTTGAGCAGCAGAAATACTTTCTGACCCCACAGTCGGTATCATCCATACTAAAGAGCCCTTGAACGCTGTGGTCCAGATGGTGCTCAGTCATTGCTGTAACCTGCTGGCCTCCTCTAGATCAGGTCTCTCTCTATGGATTTGTCCTTTGTCATGTTCCTTAAATAATTTATCATTTACCATGCAGTGTATAATGTGCACAGTACGGTTAGAGTAATTAAAGCTTGCATTGCATTGATAATACCTACAATGTATGTGCTAGGGCTGCACAATATATCACCATATCTCAATATTGGCTGCTGTAATAACCGATATCGCAAGAAAATTAATGTATCGCAACAACACAACTTCTCCATTTTCCAGAAATGTACTGTTTTTGGAAATGAAAATGGAAAAAAAGAGAGATTTTATTCATGATTTTCCTAAATTCTACATTGGGCTTGGGTTGGTCTTGGTTTTGCCTTTGTTAATATTTTATGTTGACCCAGTTTGAGCAGTAAATGAAGGCATGTACAATTTTTTGTTTTGTTTTACAGGATTTACTGTTTCAAAAAGTATAATAAAATATCACAATAATATAGTAAATTGCAATACTAAACATACCAGTAGTTATCGAATGTCTCATATCTAGCTCTTCTATTATACTCTATACTATACTTTTTTTATTTAATGTCTTTTCTGCCTCCTAATATGCAATAACTAACAGGCCATATTTCCATCCAAAACCTCCTTGACTCGTGTTCAAATTAATTATTATTATTTTTTATTATTTATTTATTTATTTATTTTATTTTTTACAAATTCTAACATTCCTTTCTGAACACTAACCTTTTAAAACTCCCCTATGGACAGGTGTTGAGTTATATTGTTATATTATAGCAGTGGCTTAGTCTTGCCAACTGTTGTAGCAGACTTCATGCCCACTATATTATTACTTTTTAAAACTCACTAGCTACACATTTTTGTTTTTCATTGATTTATTTTTTGCTTCAGTTTTCTTTGAGCCAATGGGGGGAAAGTGCCAAAGATTGTGACAGTTGCATTAAACTGTATTTACAGGAAACCGGAGCAGGGAGGGGGGAGTAACTGAAAGTAGAACAGATTGCCGACTCTACAGCACAAGTCAAGGTCGGCTAAATGGAGACAATGCATTATGGATACACACGCATATTTCACAGATCTACTGCCTTGTTTTTGGTAAATATATATTTTATGCCCCTCAAAGTCAACCGTGATTGTTCTCGCTTCAATTAGTATAGTTTTAATAGGGTATTGATTTATTTTGACAACCCAGATACGAATTGAGATTAACAGTCTTGAGTTCCCTCTAACTTCCTGCTTCTCTGGCTGTGCTACCAATGTTTTGTTTTGTTACCAGTGTTTAGTGCCCACTCACTGATGGAACACACTGCAGGTCAGACAATTATGGCTGTTGTTGTTTTAATCCACAGGAAATGCACTACGGCACTCCACTTCCTAAAACACTCAGCCAGTAAACATGCACACAAAAAGAGCAAGGCAATGTGTCAGAATATCAGTAATGTTGTTCTGAAGATATTCACAATTTGAAAATGGAGTATATCTCAGCATTGTACAAAAAAGAAAAACTTGTATTGTAAACAAGGGTTATAAAGTAATATTTTTGCACTTTTGTGGTTAATGCCACCTGATGATGTCTTCATGGAAATGTTGTAGCTTTGTCTAGAATATTCCACATTATAGATCAAAACTATATGTCACTATGCCAGCACGTTACAGCAGTATATTACAATTCAAATCTGTGGAGAATTTCCCCCATTCACAGAAGGAATTATTGTATTATTGTAATAAAAACAGCCCGTAATGAATAAATACTAGATGGTAGGGGTTAGGGCTGGGCGATATGGATCAAAAAATATATCTCGATATATTTTGCTATATCTCGATATACGATATATATCTCGATATATGTTCAAGAAAAAATAATCCCCTAAAACTGAAAACTGCAAAAACAAATCTGCCAAATTCCACAAGGTCCTTTTTTTTTATTGAAGTGTAAGAGGTCGGCAGTTCATATAGGAACATTTAAGATTACAAAAAAAACCTAATTACATAAATAATAATTTAACTGTAAAATAAAATAAATAATACATATTTCCTTCTTTTCATTCATAGATAAAACAACTCAAGACAAGTTCATCTTTGCATTAACTCTGTTATCCAGACCAGAACCAGAACCATGAGCTCCTTCAGCAGAAGAAACTCAGGATGTTCCTTATTTTAATAGATCCATGTTCCAGCAGTAAGGAGTTCTGAAGTTTCCCACAATCCACTGCAGATCAAACCCAACGTTTCCAAACACTATTGTACAAGTGACACTGCAGCAGATTATTCATTAAAATCTTCTCCATAAATAAACTTTACATTACTAAACTTTACAATATATAAAGCACAACGACTCTAGAGCCACATCAGCCATTTTGACATTATAATGTGTTTAATGCAGTTTTGCGCACGTGTGTTTACGTTTTACAGAAACAAAACTTAAGCTCATGGCTCATTTGCATAAACAGCGCACTTCTCACGCAGCTCAGCTCGTTTAGCTTCTTTCTGGCTAAAGGACGCGACTCGGTGGAACATGAGGATGTGCTGCTGATGGTCTTGTCTGTAAATGGTTGAAAAGGTTCGTGGTGCTTGAAGCTTTTCACTAGCACCAACTTTCGGCGTTCAAGGCGATAGTGAGGAGTGAAGGAGACACGAGCGAACAAAATCAGGGAGGCGGGGGCGCGGAGGCGACGAGAGAGAAGATAAACAAGCGAAGCGGCGAATTCTAAATTTAATATAAGCATTATATCGATATATACGATATGTCAGAATTCATATCGAGTTTAAAAACTATCTCGATATATTTAAAATATCGATATATCGCCCACCCCTAGTAGGGGGGTAACAATATCCAAGTCTCAAGGTACGATATTTATTGCAATATCGTGGGAAAGTTCACGATATTGAGGGGAAGCTTACGATTAGGGATGTAACAATATCCGAATCTCTCTGTTTGATATTTTCATGATATACATGATATACATGATATACGATATTTATTGTGATATTTTGTGGAGACTAACAAAACTGTTAATATGCTACTTTTTCCTCTTAAAATACCTTGACAAGACTTAAAAGTGCTTAGAACTGTTATTTCTTCATGTAGTCTGCACTGAAATGGCGCAAAGGATCATGGTCTATGTAGTTCCCTCTGTCTTTTTTTTTAGCTACTGCTGCACCATAACAATGAATTCAAGCAAAGAGACTTGTATTTCAAGATACTGTGATAGTCCACGATATTATTGTGAGAACTCTGTCGATACGATATCACAATATTTCTGTTATTGTTACGCCCCTACTAGATGGATATGTTGAAAGTCACTTCATGGAACATTCAAAGCAAAGCAATAACATCTCCATGGAGACAAGCACCAGAAAAGTTGTGCAGTGCACCTTTAAACCTTAACTAAAACAGGCATGTTCAAGCACATTTATGTTGGAATGACATAATATCTGGATACTGGATAAACTCCAATATGTTAATGAGTTGCTTATACAACAACTGCACTGGCCACCAAGTCAACAAGGGTCCTTTTACACCCTTTACACAATTGCACCCTTAATTGGAGCATAAAGTCTAAAATTATGCTCCAGAAGTTGATTAAAATTGGAGTTACATCACTCCAAACAGGCACTCTCAAATACACGAGCATGAGGTGGCCCAAGTAATTAATCAGGCTGTAATTGTGGATTGTGACGTCACTCGGACATGCCCTACTTCTCAAACAGGATGTTCTCCTCGCTGTGAAGGTGTGCTTTCATTATCCATTTGACATTTGCAAAGAGCTGCAGAAGAACTGAACCTAATCAAGCACCATTGAAACTCCACAATGCAACAAACACCTTTACTTACTCTAATAGTCTGTCTCATCATTGTCCATTGTGTTTTTTGCACTTCATTCATTCATTCATTCTTTCTTCTCACTGGATTTCAATGGCACACATCAAAAGCGCTCTGCATTTGTCTGCTTAGAAGTCTTTATTCCTCTGCGTCATCTTCATTTTTTGGCTCGCTTCCAACGCACCATTTTTCAGGTCACTGTCAGTTTTCTCCTCTCTATCTCTCCTCTCTCCCATCCACACTAGACCGTTCGCTTTGGCTGTACTTCTGTGTTGCGGAGAGCTGAAGTCAGAAAACCATGCTGCCTGAGGGAGAACGCTGCTGCAGTGTGTTTGCGCCTGGCGGGAGGCTTCTCTTAAAGCTATAGAGATCAGCTGCAATGCTACATCTTGCGCTAGCCCTTTTTTACCTCTTCTTTTCTGTCATTCACTCACACATTTTATCTCTTTTTCATCCACGCTGTCCAGCTACACACACTTTTCGCGCCTGCAGTGTGCTGGGGTATAGCCCTATTGCTAGAGTTGAGTGATTCATCTATGCAGTTCAAATACAGGAGACTCCTCTTTCTCACTTGCCTCCTGTGCTTTGGACGGATCTAAATCGGGTTCAGGAAACATTAGCGTGAGTCAGTGCATGTGCTAGTATGTTTGAGTGATGGAGTACTCCTGCTAATGCTGCTTGTTTATGTTGATATGTTGAACTCAAACTAGTCATGACTGCAATGACGCATATTATTGTCTTACTAATGGACCTAGCACACATGGCTTTTACTGGATGTCATTTTTACTTGATCTCCAGATTTTGATTGTCACACTTCAATCATATCACCTCCTTGGTCTAAAAGTTTTCTGTCACTCACTGGTTATTATATTAATTATAATACAGGTGCAGGGGTTATTGACGTAGATTAACATGATTGACTGTTTTGCTTTCTTTCCTACAGGCGGGTTCGGGGTCTCCCAACATGGCCACCACCATCCAGGACTTTCAGAGGGCGGAGTCAGACCGGCTCAATGAAGTCAAGGGACACCTGGAAATTGCCTTATTGGAGAAGCATTTTCTACGTGAGTACACTCAACACTGATAATTATAATGTCCCCCAATCATGACAAATCACAAAATATGATTATCATATGCCGTTTGATTAAATGAAAAAGACTTTGGGGAAGCTTTATTTTATTCAGGTTAGAAAATGTTTGATTGTTTGTGGTTCATGCTGTGCTTGTACTGCTCAGGGCTCACCGCAGATGAGCACTGAACATATTTCTTGCAGCTCAAATGAAAATGAAAAATGTAAGATAAGCTGGTTTCTTTCTGCTGTTGTGCACGTTTTAAAATGCAGTTTGTGTCTTGTGCGATAGTGAACTTTGGCTATGTCTGTGTCAGCTTGAAACTTTAGGTCTTGTGATATAGGTCTACTTCCTAGTTTCACTTTGTTATTGTGTTTTTTTGTTTTTTTTTACTTCTCCTTAATAAATCTGGCTCTGGGCTGAGTTTAGTTGATGAGGAAGATAAAGCAAGGAAGAAAGCTGGAGCTATATTCTGAAGTAACTGATGGAAGCTATTGATGCCTATTGTGTTTGATATTTTACCTCTTTCAATGAATGAAACCAGGTGGAGAAAAGGTAAACCTGTTTTTTAAAGATGCATTGTGCTGTACTGATGTCTATATTTCTTTAATGCAGTTAATAATATGGGAGTTTTGTTGATGAGACAGATTCTGTAAAGCGCTGTCAGCAGACAGTGACGCATGCTGTCACTTTTTATTTCCATTACACAGCGGAGAGATGTCAAACCGTGCGCACATAGTTTTAACTTTATGCTTTGGGTCTTTTTTAATTCTATAAATAATTAACTTTTAACCACAACAAAGTGAGCCAGGCATATTTAACTGACTAAAGTTGAGAGGCTGGATTAATAATGGACGACAAAAATTTTAAATGTGTCAAAAATATTAAAGTTCGCCTGTAGTTGCATCTTGACTTAAACTCTTTCAGACTTATTTTTGTTGTCCTGTCCTTGTGGCCAAGTAGCAGCGCTCCCCATGTTCACCTCCTGTATCACCAGTCTCTCGTCCACCCACTGACCCAGTCTGTGGTGATTGGGACTGGTTGTTCTGTCCCTGCAGCACGTTGCCTGTCCCGTGATGGGTAATGGGCTGTGAAGTTTCCCCTCCCCGCGAGCTCTGTGTGTCTATTAGACTGAGTGAGTGAGGGAGAGTGTGTTTGAAAGGGAATACCTCAGGCTATGTCCGCTCTTATAGTGCCCATGCATGAGCTAAAAGTCCCAGAATATACCTTGGTTTATGGTTTTACCTTCTCTTGACTCTGTCCTGCACGTTGCACAGTGCTGAACTCCTCTGTATCATTGCACTGTTCATTTTTAGATCATTGTCTGATCCTATTTACTTACTGGTAACTGTTATCACTACCTTGTCTTATGTGAAAGAAATGTTAAAAGTAAGGTAAAAGTTAAAATTTTTAAATCAAGTTGTAGAATAAATTTGCGTTGCTTAGATGACTCGTTAATCCTGAGGCGTCTCAATCCCGTTTGCTGCCTTTATGGGTTAACTTGACCTGCATATTTGGAGGTAGGGAGGAAACTTGTGGATACAGACTGTTGCTTCCTGTATCTGCAAAGGATGGCAGTTTTCACCTTTTGTCCTTTCTGGACCAAAAATGAAGACAACACAGCACACATGGAGGGACACATGTAAATCCAGCACACAGAATTGTTTGTTCAAGTTGAGTATTATTACAACCCCAGTATCCTCTAGTCTGCTCTCCCTGCCTGCGTTAGAGAGATTAAACAACAAAAAGCATAATTTTATCCACCTTACATGATACTGAACATAACATAGTTGTAAGTCAGACCTCCCCTAAAGGAAACATTATAACTTGTTTTGCATAACTGTTTCCCTCTCATTCATGCTCGGTCAGACAAAGTGTTCACTTGACATTTTATTGTATCGCCGTATTGCCTATAGTGTGTTTGTGTTGTAATTGTAAAAGGGTAGTGGTGCCTCTGGGTTATATTGTTCATCACATTTACAACAAGCCTTTTTCTTGTAACATGTTCAAGTCTGTGGTTGCCAATTTTTCTCCTGTTAAATCTTTGGTCTCATCTCTGGTTGTATCGTAATTGTTCTTCAGAGACCTCTGAGGCGTGACAATCCATTAGGACCTAATAGCGGCCAAGCTCAGTGCCCTATACTTTATATAGGATTCTCATTTGCAGTCTTTTTTACTGCCGTGTGATTCTGTGAACTCTCCTCCTTATTGATTGTGTTCATTGTTCATTCTTGGTACCTTTCTCTAAACTAGTTTTTCTTTTTCTTTTTTGTGTGTGTGCTACATTAGTTTGCTTGTATGCACCTTCTGTCAATGGATTCCTGCACAACTCCATAAGAATACTCTTATCTAAAGGGGAAGTACCTCATTTTTGTTCACTGAGTAAAATGTATTTTGTACCTGGCCAATACAGATATTGTAGAAGCAGACCAACCACAGGCACAGCTTAACACACTGTCTTTGGAGGAAAAAAATCTAGATATTAAAGGGCCCATATTACACTGTTTTCTGATCTGTTATAATGTTTTTTCCTTATCAAAAACATACCTGGAGTTGTTTTTGTTTCATTCACATTTCATTAACACACAAGGCAAGGCAAGGCAAGGCAAGGCAAGTTTATTTGTATAGCACAATTCGTACACAAAGTAATTCAAAGTGCTTTACAGAATAAGAAATACATTAAAATCACAATAAAAACAAAACATAAATAATCATGAAGATTAAAATTTAAAAAGAGAGACATAAATTGAAGACAAGAGTGCGGAATGAAAACCTTTCAGTTATATGCACAGTTAAACAGAAATGTTTTGAGTCTGGATTTAAACAGCGTCACAGAAGAGGCCTGTCTCACATGTTCAGGAAGACTGTTCCAGGTTTTAGCTGCATGAACCTGAAACGCTGACTCCCCTTGTTTAGTCCTGACTCTGGGCACCAGCAGGAGGCCGGTCCCTGAGGTCCTCAGAGTGCGAGATGGTTCATATGACACTAACATGTCACAGATGTACTTTGGTGCTCGGCCATGGAGAGACTTGTACACAAGCAGAGCTGCTTTAAAGTCTATTCTCTGAGGCACAGGAAGCCAGTGCAGAGACCTGAGCACAGGACTTATGTGCTCGTACTTCCTAGTTCGAGTAAGGACCCGAGCTGCAGCGTTCTGGATGTTCTGCAGCTGTCTCACAGCTCGTTTGGAAGACCAGTGAGCAGACCATTACAGTAGTCTAACCTACTGGAGACAAACGCATGTAATAATTTCTCCAAGTCTGATTTAGACAGTAAACCTTTGATTTTTGCTATGTTTTTTAGATGGTAAAAGGCTGCAGATGTTATTGATTTTATGTGACTGTTAAAGTTCAAGTCTGAGTCCATTATTACCCCTAGATTTCTTGCCTGATTTGAAGGTTTTAGAGCGAGAGACTGGAGGTGACTGCTGACACTGTCCCTTTGTTTCTGTGGACCAAACACTATGACTTCAGTCTTGTCAGAGTTTAGCTGGAGAAAGTTGTTTTGCATCCACACACTGATCTGTTGGATGCAGTGACCAAGTGACTCCACTGGTCCATAGTCTCCTGCTGCCAGAGAGACGTAGATCTGAGTGTCATCTGCATAATTGTGGTACGACACGTTATTGCTGCTTATTAACTGGCCTAATGGCAGCATGTAGAGATTGAACAACAGGGGGCCCAGGATTGACCCCTGAGGCACCCCACAGGTCAGGGCCATGTCATCTGAGACACAGTTTCCAATTTCAACAAAATACTTCCTGTCTTCTAGATAGGACTTGAACCAGTTTAGTACAGTACCAGAGATGCCCACCCAGTCCTCTAGTCTCTGTAAGAGGATCCCATGATCGACAGTGTCAAAAGCAGCACTCAGATCTAACAGGATCAAGACTGAGACTTTGCCTGCATCAGTGTTCAGGCGGATGTCATTTGTCACCTTGATAAGAGCAGTCTCAGTGCTGTGGTGGGCTCTAAAACCTGACTGGAAAACATCAAAGGAGTTGTTCATTTGGAGAAAGTTCGTAAGCTGTTGGTAAACAGCTTTTTCAAGGACTTTACCAAAAAACGGCAGATTTGAGATGGGTCTGAAATTGTTCAGTACTGTGGCATCAAGACTGCTCTTCTTTAGGAGAGGCTTAATGACCGCAGTTTTCAACGCATTTGGGAATGTTCCAGATTGAAGTGACATGTTAACTATGTGAGTGAGTGGTGAAAGTAAACTGTTGAGGACGGACTTTAGAAATCTAGTGGGTAACATGTCCAGGCAGCAAACACTAAATATTTAGGATGAGTTATTTTCTTGTGGTAATAAAGGAAGTGCTCCACTGTGTTTTTAAACTCCTATACACCTTCACCAGAATCATTTGGATAATTTTAGCCCTGGAATTTCCTTTCTGTACTAAACAAAAAGTAAAAAGTGGGTGTTAATTTCAAGACTACTGGTTCATGACATCACATTGTGGAACAGAGCGTTTTGAGCTTTGGAGATGTAGACAAAGGTTAATCAAGTAATGAAAGTTAATCAAACATGTGTGAATGAAACAAAACAAAACACAACTCCAGGTATGTTTCTGAGGAGGTACATTTTACATTATAACATGGCTTAAAACACACAAGAGTCTATTTTGCGTAATATAGGACCTTTATTTATTGTTAGTGCCTCCCACCCCTATATTTTCAGTCTTTTTACTACTGTGTCATATTGCGCTGTACACAATAGGACACTTTCATTCAGCTTTTTATAGCAAGAGAGAGAGGAACATTCATTGTATTCCCCTCTACTACAGTTATTTAATAATCACCTTTGGCAGAACAAAGGGTTAGTTGTTTGGTAACCATGGATTTGTGTGTTGTGTAAGCCGGGCTTGAGGGGTATGGGTGCTATAGGCAAAAGCACTCAGCATAATATGAAAACAGAGGTCACAGTGTGCATCAGGAAGGAAGGAAGCAAGCTGAATTTTATGAACAGCTTAACATGAAAAGACTGTTGTGAAT